AGATTGAACTGTAAGATATATCTATTCTCCCCATGCACAACATTTCAAATCTGCATTGCTACCCATATATTATATCATTTAAGAGTTGACTTCATTTTTGTTGCTATATTTAGCTGCATATATTCTCATTGCCTCAGTGAGCACAATATTGAATATTTAATAAATGCTGACTAAGTTATTGGCAGTTTTAATGTTTTAGCTTTCATGCTAATACGACATTTGATTTGGCCAACATTACATTTAGTTAAGTACATATTTTGCTATATATGTATACAGTGTATAGATTTAGGAGTAATCAGCATTCATCTTAAGCCTCTGTCACCACTGCTGGATGGCCTTTTGACAACAGAACACTGTTTCAAGCCTTCAATGTTTGTCTCACGGCATTCTTTTAGACATTAAAAGCCTAAAGCAGTGTGAAAATGTGTGGGAATTCCTGCAGAGTGCAGCTTATGAAATTCCAGGATAGGATTCTGAAACTGGAAAACTTTCTTCAGACTAGAATAGGCCTACTTTTGAGTGAAGCTAACAGCCTCAAGGACAGCTTGTTACTACCAGTTTGACACCTGACCTGTTCATTTTCTCAGTAGTCTTTGTGCATTGTTTGAATGACACTCATTTAAACTGTTCCTTGGTATTATAGTATATGTATTAAATTTAAATACATTTAAAGGTGGTTCAAAGATTCCAGTATTGTGTTTATTGCATAATACATGCTATGCACAACTAAATCTAGCAGTAAAATATTTATTTGTGGTAAACAGCTCAGGGAAGACATACTGAATGCTATTAGGGGCCACCAACATCAGTTCACAGTTACGAACTTGTTGAGACAGAAGCGCAATGGTTGAATATCACACATGCTCGTTCAATATGTGTCTTTCACTGCATGGCTGACTATGCCCTCAATACTTTATAAACTACATGTTCCTGATTAACATCATTAGCCTAGTGAAAAAAAAAAAAAAAAAAAGATTTTTCCTAGCTATCAGGACTTTATTTTTCTCCAGTTCATAAGAGGTAAAGAAAAACTTTTTTTAATTTCTACCAAAGTATTCCCTGAATTATATCCAGAGTAAATATTTCATTGCTATTTTTTTTTGGGGGGGGGGGGGAATAAAGACCCAGATAAAAAGGCACATAGATTTTTGAAAATGTCATGCGAATTGTTCCTGCTGCTATCTATTCAAATAAGATGTAAATGTTTCCTTGCATTTTCCTGAAAATGTTTTCTCTTTTCCTTTAAAATATGTCGACATTGTAGTTAACATTCTTATTTTAATCAAGGTCTGGATTGTCATGTCATTATCCAGCAGTTTTGGAGGTTCTCTGCGTATTTTTTTTTCTTTCAGACTTCGTCCAGATAGGAATAAGAATAGATGTCATGGTTGAAACAGTTTTATTTAAATATGAAATACAAAAGTATACGCAGGCCTATGTATTTATAGTATACAAATACACACACACACACACACACACACATATCTATACATGTTTGGTTTATATGTTTGTTTTATAATATGGTTGAATTATCTGAGGTATTGGACAATTTAACAAGCATTTAAAAAGAATACTAAACAAATATATGTAGCTGGTAAAACAATAGACATGAAAATGTAGACGCCTCATTGAACACTGAATAGTAGAACAGGATTAGGGCCACTGAAAAAAAAAGTTAACTGATTTTTACATTTTATTTCAGTATAATAAGACAAAAGTTAGAATTCTGAGTTTAATCTCAGAAACCTGGATTAAGATTAAAGTCAGACTTCTGAGAAAAAAGTCATAATTCTGAGGAAAAAAAGTCATAATTCTGAGAAAAAGTCAGAACTCTGAGATTAAAGTCAGACTTCTGAGAAAAAAGTCATAATTCTGAGAAAAAGTCAGTTTTGAGAAAAAAGTCATAATTCTGAGAAAAAAGTCAGAATTCTGAGATTAAAGTCAGTTTTGAGAAAAAAGTCTCATATTAAACTTGAATAAAAACTAAAAATCAGTTAACTTTTTTTTTTTTAGTGGCCCTAATCCTCTTCCTAGAACAGCATAACCAGGTCGCTGCCATATCGGTCTGCACCAGGTGACGTCGATGTTTACCTCGGGCGCGGTGCATCGTGGGAAAACCACCATATTAGGTGGAAAGTCCAGATAATACACACGCGGCTGTTCTTTCGGCACAATTATTTACCAGAAATGACACGATCGTATTGTGTGAGAGGCTGCCAGTCCCGGTGTCGTGCCAAGGTAGTTATCCCTGCGAAAATTTGTATCCCCTCGTCGGGAGCGCGCACGGAGGAGGAAGAACAACCCGACTTAACTCCGCTTCAATTCCAACGTGCAGAACTTGAAATTTGAAAGGTTTTATGTGTATGAAAGTTGAGCTTTACTGTTTTATTCTTTACTTCACATGTTATAGCAGAATATCGCCAGTGATATTGATCTAAAACTAATAATATAACACAAACGTTTGCATGAAAGCTGGTCGCTGACAGCAGTGTCTACTCCTTCCTCTGAAAGCAAACAGATCCTTGTTCTTTTCCACACGTTCCTTAAAAAAATCTCTCATTGTTTCACAGTATCCAAATGTTCTCATGCCATTGAAAACAGTTGTAAACCATATACTTGTAATAAAAATGAAATAGAAAATGGAGTGCACGTGTAATCATTAAAGACTATGCAGAAGGAAAATAATTTTTTCCTGGTTGAAATTGAGTACTTAAATCTATATTTGTGTTTATAGTAACGTACAATTTAATTATGTTGTACTATCCTTGATAAACAGTTTGTCTTCTAACATCAGCCATTTTATTTCATCCCATTTTGCCAGAACTGGCAATATGGGATGAAATAAAACCTGCTGTAATCTGTTCCCCCTGTCTAAATCAGGCAAAAAAGGCCCCGGCTTTTTCATTTTTGGCTTAAAAATATCTTTTATGACGACAACTAACTCCTGAAACTTTGGATGTGATTGACCTTTATTTCTTAAAGTTATAAGGGGGGAACAAATTATAGCAGGCCACCTGCTATAATCTGTTCCCCCTGTCTAAATCAGGCAAAAAAGGTCCCAGCTTTTTCATTTTTGGCTTTTAAACATCTTTTATGATGACAACTAACTCCTGAAACTTTGGAGTTGATTGACCTTTATTTCTTAAAGTTATAAGGGGGGAACAAATTATAGCAGGCCACCTGCTATAATCTGTTCCCCCTGTCTAAATCAGGCAAAAAAGGTCCCAGCTTTTTCATTTTTGGCTTTTAAACATCTTTTATGATGACAACTAACTCCTGAAACTTTGGAGTTGATTGACCTTTATTTCTTAAAGTTATAAGGGGGGAACAAATTATAGCAGGCCACCTGCTATAATCTGTTCCCCCTGTCTAAATCAGGCAAAAAAGGCCCCAGCTTTTTCATTTTTGGCTTAAAAATATCTTTTATGATGACAACTAACTCCTGAAACTTTGGAGTTGATTGACCTTTATTTCTTAAAGTTATAAGGGGGGAACAAATTATAGCAGGCCACCTGCTATAATCTGTTCCCCCCTGTCTAAATCAGGCAAAAAAGGTCCCAGCTTTTTCATTTTTGGCTTATAAGCATCTTTTATGATGCAAAAAAATTAAAAAGCTGGGACCTTTTTGGCCTGATTTAGACAGGGGGGAACAGATTACAGCAGGTGGCCTGCTATAATTTGTTCCACCCTTATAACTTTAAGAAATAAAGGTCAATCACATCCAAAGTTTCAGGAATAAATTGTCATCATAAAAGATGCTTATAAGCCAAAATTGAAAAAGCCGGGGCCTTTTTTTGCCTGATTTAGACAGGGGGAACAGATTACAGCAGGTTTTATTTCATCCCATATTGCCAATTGTGGCAAAATAGGATGAAATAAAACGGCTGTTAGAAGACAAACTGTTTATTAAGGATAGTACAACATAGATAAATTGTACGTTACTATAAACACAAATATAGATTTAAGTACTAAATTTCAACCAGGAAAAAAATATTTCCTTCTGCATATAGTCTTTAATGATTACACGTGCACTCCATTTTCTATTTCATTTTTATTACAAGTATATGGTTTACAAGAGTTTTCAATGGGATGAGAACATTTGGACACTGTGAAACAATGAGATATTTTTTAATGAACGTGTGGAAAAGAACAAGGATCTGTTTGCTTTCAGAGGGAGGAGTAGACACTGCTGTCAGCGACCAGCTTTCAAGCAAACGTTTGTGTTTTATAATCAGTTTTAAATCAATATCACTGGCGATATTCTGCTATAACACGTGAAGTAAAGAATAAAACAGTAAAGCTCAACTTTCATACACATAAAACCTTTCAAATTTCAAGTTCTGCACGTTGGAATTGAAGCGGAGTTAAGTCGGGTTGTTCTTCCTACTCCGTGCGCGCTCCCGACGAGGGGATACAAATTTTCGCAGGGATAACTACCTTGGCACGACACCTGTCCGGTAATTTCGCATTCTGCTTACTTTTTTCCATATAGTCAGAGAAACAAACTCAATCCTTTAGTCCTTCGTTTAGCTATGCTGCGGTTGTTTACACTACGCCTTTTCCACCAAAAATGGCGTCTTAGCAACAAATGTCACGTGACTGGCGGAGACCGATTAGAGGAGTCAGAAAGCAGTGAGGGTAAAATATCTGTGTGCTGCCTGGAGTTTTCCAAATCGTCTGGGTGTCTAAATCCAACTTTATCAGGATTATCTTCAACAGGTAAGATGTCAAATCCTTTTGATTGTGTTTGATCCAAAGTCTTTTAATTAAAATGCATTTTATGATGGTGTATTATGAAAAAAAAGTGAAATAAATCCAACATAAAAGTAGTTTTGCAAGGATCATAACTTAAATTTCTAACGTGGCTTTTTGTTATATCAGTCCCCCTCTAGCTACTTCTTCGATACTTCCTGAAGTGAGAGTTTCATAAAGCATCTTTTCCTGACAAAAAGCCAATAAACAACCACACGGTGAACCAAACACATAAACAGCGTACTTACATCGCACTGTCCTGATGCGCATCGGAGTCCATAAAGCGTTTTCTATGGAGAGGAATCTGATCGTCGCATAATAACAGATGCCGCTTACGACCAACCCTGGATGAAAACGCACACTTTCAATGAACAAAACTTTCAATAAATCAACATGTTACAAAAAATTAGGAGGTATAACCAACTTTTTTTCATAAACACAATTGTTTACTCACATGGGATAATCCATGCTGCCTCTTTTTCAGCAGAAGCTGCAGTAGCAGTCCCGCTTTCTCAGCACTTCTACTAAATAAAGTGAAATTAATGCGTTCTGACAGTTTGAACTGGAGTGAAGTTTGTTTCTGGCAGCAGGAGCTCCGCCTCTAAAAAACCTCCAGTGTGCCTTTCATGTCAGGGACTTTTCCCCGGGGCGCAGTATGGGTGGCTGGGAGGAGTTAGGGCGGTTCTAGACAAGAGCCAACGGGGGCCAGTACCCCTGTAGATCAGGTCCTGGCCCCTGTACTGAAGACATATTACTCAAAGAAATTCTAATGATGATATGCCCTGGAACAGACATGGTTACTGATAGGTTCTTTGAATCTATTTCCTTTTTTTCTTTACAAATTCTGTTTTACTGATTATTTAAAAGCAATAATGTTTTTTTTTTTCAATACAAATAAAAAAACTCTAATTTTTACAGCAGAATGTATCTGTTTTTCTTGAGTTCTAATCCAGATTTGATAGAAAACAGTAATTTTAACTTAAATTAAGTAAAAAAATATGTAAAATTCCTAAATTATGAATGTATTTCGACCTAATAAGACAGAATTTTAATTAAATCTAATTGAATAGAAATGTCTTCGTGCAGCTATATAAATATATTTTAATCTCTTGCCCTGTTTTTATTTCACACTTTTCTGTTCCCCCATGAAAACACGCCGGCCCCCTCCTGGCCCCCTGGTACGTTTGGTCTAGAACCACCACTGGTGAGGGGGGCCCCAAAAGAAGAAGAAAAGACTTGTCCTGCTATACTTTTCAAATATAAAATGGAAATCCCATAATGAAATAAAATATTTTTGTGTTCTCCCTAATTTTTAAGCAGCAAATAACGAAACAAAGCATGAATATATTGACAAGTCCTGCAGCGCATTAGTTCTCCGCATCTGTCACCCAGGGGCGGAGCTAAATGGGGGGCCAGGGGTGGCCTTAGCCAATCATCGGCCACCCCTACCATTTTTTCTCCTCTGATACAGATAGTGGCAGCAGTAATACTCTCAAGTGGAATATGCATCTTAATTTTTCATATATTACTTACTATTTTTTTCATGTATTCATAATTTCTTGACAACAAAAACACTGTGATTAATTATACACATCAGTATACAAACATCAAAGATGATAAGTGCAGAATTCATGCTCTTTTATGGGGTAAAGAGAAATTATCTGTCTCTGCAAGTCACCCAGGGGTCTTCAGTGAAATCATAGATAAATAACTATTTGAATAAAAACGTAGTAAATAATCAGTTTATGTCGATATTTGTACTTGTAAATATCAACATAAATTTTCTGGCTACGCCTCTGCTGTCACCAGCAGTTTGCTACCGGAACTGAAGTGCGTCATTTTAAGTTGTCATAACGAATGAAACAAATCAATGCATCTTTATAGCAGTTTAAAAGCTTACAAACTTTTGTTTTTGGGCAGGGCCCAATATCAATGTCTTTCATGGGGCCCCAAATTTCTGGTGGCGCACCAACTAACAGGGAAATGTTTTTGTTACCGTACATGTCATAATGATGAATGATTTCATGTGAAAAGTTGGCTGGAGTACAGCTTTAGTCCTGGAGGCAAATCCCTCATCTGAAGATTGTACCTGCAGGTCTGCTCTAATTAAAGTGGTTTTTGCAAAAGAAAAATGTCCTGATATAGCAATCCTGAGCTTTACTTGCTGTTATTTTTTAGCTACCTAATAATAATCCACCATTCCTTCTGTTAGAACTAGCCTAAGTGATGACAGATTAAAAAAGACATAATAAACAGTTCAGGGGTGATTTTTGACACTGATACCAAAAAGTGAAACCGTAAGCCTTTTTTTTTTCTTTTTCCAAGTCTGATTATATAAAGAAAACATCTTAGGGGTAAAACTGACACACAGTGTTACAAAGAAAACAGGTTATGATAAAACCAATTACTTTCATTAAATTTGCTTCCTAATGACATGCTACACGGTTTCAGTGTAATGAAGAAGCATGTACAGACTAAGCCTTTAGAGAGAATATCAGTTTAAATAAACATATGCTGAGAAACATGTTAGACTGGATCTACTGTGCTTCACAGCTTTCTAGAATATTGGATCATCCTCTGTATTTTATTGTCGCTAGTCATGCAATCATAAAGCAAAATGACACATTAATCTTTGATTAAAAAGTCCCCAAAGACAGTTTGATTACTTTAGTTGCAGAGAGAGAGTAAATTTCCTTTTGCATTAATGCATTTAGATCACAGTGTACTCAAAGACCTTTTCTGCAATTCTATGTTGCAGTAATTTTCCTTTAACAGGATTTGCAAACATTGCAATCCAGTCTTAATTCCTTTTATGTTATTTTTTTCTGTTATATCATCTTATATATATTGCTTCAGAGATAAGCTATGAAAGCAGGCATCTTTTTACAGTCTTAATTTGTTTCCAATTACAAATACAGGTGCTGGTCATAAAATTAGAATATCATGAAAAAGTAGATTGATTTCAGTAATTCCATTTAAAAAGTGAAACTTGTATATTATATTCATACATTACATACAAACTCATATATTTCAGATGTTTATTTTGTTTAATTTTGATGATTACAAATGACAACAAATGAAAATCTCAAATTCATCATATCAGAAAATTAGAATATTGTGAAAAGGTTCAAAATTGATGGCCCCTGGTGCCACACTCTAATCAGCTAATTAACTCAAACCACCTGCAAAAGCCTTTAAATGGTCTTTCAGTCTAGTTCTATAGGCTACACAATCATGGGGAAGACTGCTGACTTGACAGTTGTCCAAAAGACGACCATCGACACCTTGCACAAGGAGGGCAAGACACAAAAGGTCATCGCTAAAGAGGCTGGCTGTTCACAGAGCTCAGTGTCCAAGCACATTAATAGAGAGGCGAAGGGAAGGAAAAGATGTGGTCGAAAAAAGTGTACAAGCAAGAGAGATAACCGCACCCTGGAGAGGATTGTGAAACAAAACCCCTTCAAAAATGTGGGGGAGATTCACAAAGAGAGTTAAAGTTAAAGTTCTATTATTATTATTATTAATTATTATGGTATCTTGGCTGGGTACATAATACAAAAAGTTTGTGGTATATTTGGAACAATGGGCGTCAAGGGGTTAAGACTTTATATATAGTATAGCAACTTTAAAGTAATTGAGGTATGTCCACAACAAAATAAATCACACAAGACAAAAAAAATATAAAGTTAGAAAGTTTAAATATTCACTCTGTGTCTATTTATTGAGTCCGCATACATTTTATCTGCTTCTTCCAACCTCTGTAATTTCAACCCCTGAATGGAGGGAAATTCAACACTGATGATTCTCCCTGCATATCGGATTTTCATGCCTGTCACTGTGTCTGTTTTTAATGTATTTATTTAGCCAAACTGCAGAGTGAGAGATCAGCACAAGGCAGGCTGAGTAATGACAAGGTAGAGGAACAGCGCCTCCTGTTGAAACAATGATAGTCTTGAGGTTCTGACATCAGTCTCTGCTGGGCCTTCTTCTGAACAATGTCTATGTGTAAGGACAATCTAAAGTCAACAGCAACGGTTGCTCATAGGGACCAGAAAATAATACACAGTGTTGTTAAGGATGGTTAAGGCAAGAAGTATTTTCTTTGGAAAAATTACTTGTGTTTATTTAGCTTCAGGTGTTTCTGACCGCACCGGTGCATCAGTTGATTAATCTTCGTCTGTATGCAGACTTCCTTGTTTCGGTATCTGCGGAATTCAGGAGTTAAAGAGACAGGTTTGCTGAGTGGCAGTCTTTTCTCTATAGAGGGAAGAGGACAGTAAAAAGAACAAACTCCTAAGGGGGTACCAGTTAATTATGCTTTTTCAGGAGAGAAAAATATTCACTGTTTTCTTTGATTAGTTTAGGCTTGTTGAAGTTGAGGATGAATTATGTTATCAATCTTGCTAATCAAAACAGCTTTTAATTATAGTATAAACAAAGAGAGAGGGTGTCATTGTTTATGCCATTCCATCTACCATTTAATTACTATACGCAGCAGATTAGATGTTTATTTTTTGGATTTAGTGTTAGCAAAAACCTTTTGAACCTTCATGTGTCCAGCTGAATAGCTCAAGATTTGCTGGTGTCAGTCCTCTTTTAATGGATATTTTTTGTTATAGTATAATAAACCATGAATAATCATAGTTGTATGTGTATATGCATTAGAATTGTTACGTTTCTCCATTGTTTTAAATTAACTTTCTTTTCTTTTTTTAGCTAAAAGTTAGATAAAACAATATCAAAAAATAAAGATTCCTTTTTTTCTCTGTCTATCATGTTTTTATCATATTTGTTTTCTTGTAAAACTGTGCCACAGTTGCCACATTTTTTTACCATCATTGTCCGTACTTGTGCTTGTTAATGCATTGTCCATCTGTCCATTCCCCCTGCTATTAGCAGTAACGATTTTATGGGATTCTTTATAAATAAGATTGATTCTATAAAAACAAAAAAGATAGTAAAAGTATGATTGTTTTTTGTCTCTGAAAGGTGAGGCAGCATCTGAGAATCTGAACTGGGTTTAGACTGCTTTGATCCAGTTGAACTTTCAGAGTTAGCAAAACTATTACCCACATCTAAGCCTTAGACTTGTATGTTGGATCCAGTTCCAACCAAGTTATTTAAGGACGGATTCCTTAAGATTTCCTCCTCCATATCCCTGTTACAGGGATATGTACCTCAGGCATTTAAGGTAGCTGTAACTGAACCTTTACTTAAAGGAGAAGTTCACTTTTTAACACTTTAAGCCCATTTTCTGTAGTGTCCAGGATGAAATCGAATGATCGAGGTGCTAACGTCTCTGTTAAACACTTTAAAAAACTCTGAAAATGGAATACGAAAGGTGGATTCTTGATTCTCGACGTCGGAGTACGCAGAGTGAAGCGAAAAGACTACAACTGTGTAAACAGGCCCCATTTCCATTTCCGGTGGCAGGGGAATATTGACTATTCCAACAGAACTCAATGGGATTTACAAAATGCTAAATAAAACACTACAGGAACGTTTTTTCTTTACGAAACTTTTTTTGGAACGTCATTGAACAGCGCTGACGACCCGGTGAGTAGCATATTTAAAAAAAAGAACGTTTAAGGTTGTTTTAAGGACATTATCGG